TGATTATTTTAAGGATCACAATGCATGGAATGAATAGCCTTCACTTTGTTCTATAACGACTAATTATATGTACAACCTATAACCTACAGACTATGAAAGTTCTATTTAATATTGTGATAGTACATATAATTTTGGTAATGACATGATTTATATAAATGTCATTACTTATGATAAAGAGCTGGTAAGTTTCTTTCGCTTGTTCTTCTTGTCAGCTAAAAGACGTCCTGAACAAGTGGTAGGGGAAAAATATATTTTTTGACGATTCAAAAGTGCTTGTAATAAGCCTGCTTGAATAAAGATATTATTATTTCATTTCATTTCAGTATCTTCTTATATTGTCTCGATTACGGATAATAATAGCCTTTTTCTACATATATTATAATTGTATATTTTTATTTACTAGCTTTTGTCCGCAACTTCGTTTGCGTGGTTTAGTATTTACAGTAGTTTATTAAAAAAAAACAATCTGTTAACTTGTATCCATATTGCACTTTTTTGTTTGAAAGAATATTCTCGAAATATTTAATGGGAATATTTCCGATAGATAGCTCATAATATAGCAATAAGTTAGTACTTACATGAGCTATCTACCCCGTGTATGCCGGGGACAATTTTTAACATCGTCCCCAGCATACACGCAAGCATATGGCACTCTCCAATTTTTCATAGACTCTAATTGAACATGTCACAGACCAGACGTATAATGATTTAATACATGTTTAATGCTTATTTTATCTAAACGAGTTAAAAACTTCGATCAACAGTTCAAATTAAAAATGTTGAAGTCTAACATTACTCTATTATTTCTCCTTGTCGTTAGTATATATATTTTATGCCCGTGTATAAATAGCTTCAAACGATAAAATAAACCTGACACTGATATATAATATGTATAAATACGGAGGCTTCGATCGAAATCGGAGTATTTTTTTGCTCTGGAATTAGGTTTCGATGCTCCGAATTTAAATCCCGGAGTTTCCGAGTTTCAGTCTGACACAATATTTATTTATCTTATTAAAATGCAAATCAATTAAAAATGTATACTTACGAATGAAATATGACCCCTTGGTTTTTAGTCGACTAACTTATGTAGTTTCTACAGGTTCGCATAAAACAGGATGGTATTTTGAAAATGAATATGGTGGATAAATGCACACAATTAATGCTTTCGCCAGACTGCACTCAGATATTCTTCTAAGAAGATATCATGTCGAATGAAGTCTCCACATATTCTTTCCAATATCCAAATCAAGCCAATCGACTTGATTGATATTGAAGTTAATCAAAATTAATTTAACGTTAATTTGCATTGGGTTTAACTCAATATATTGAACATTGAGTTAATTTCAATATCAAATAAAAACAAGATATAAAATAAATCTGAATTCAAAATTACATTTTTATCTGAACCATATTTTAATATGCGACATCTGTCTCGTTAATTAATATCAGTGATCAAGGAAATGGGAAATCTATAAAACGTTAAATAACCGGTAAACTGTTTGTCGCAAGTTATCTAACGTCCGATTCGACCAATAATTTTAAAATAACGCTCGTTTTGGCACGAACGCCCGTTATCGGAACGCATAAGTTGCGATAACGGTGGCTGCACTAAATAACGTTATTGACGCGGACTCTTCTCACGAAGATAATCAATGAGTGACTTCGGAAATAGTACGTAAAATTATTTTATTATTTTAGAACAATATAACTAATATTGATGGGAAAAATTAAAGTATTCAATAAAGTCTTATCATCGTATCAGATGGGAAATGATAAATAATAGCGAATACAGCTTTACTTTTACGATATTAACGGGAATTATAATGACACGAGAAAGGATTTCACACAGAGAAATTAGGTTAATTTAAAAACCTCCCCTTTGCCAGCACAAACTATGTCACCAGATTTAAATTTATATATTTTTTTATTTGAAGTTTCTTGAATTTTAACCGCTTCTGTAGGATAATTTTCGATTTTCTGAAATCATTTGGTATCTCGAAAAATAAATATACTTTTTTTATTATAGAATTAGCATCAACTTATATTAGACGATTTAGCACTCGCAGTTGTTTTAATGTAAAAACAAAACTACCGACCTGGCTTAATATTTTTTTTAATTAGATATGCTCGAGAATAGTGCACGTTTAATGTTAATAATTATTATCTGTTCACCCAGTTGCAAAAACGTCCGGTAAATTTAATGACGATTTTAAGCTCTAATGATTGTACTAAATTTGACAATTTGTATCTGTGACGTAGCTTTAAACTATTGGCAATTTAATGGGCGTTTGTGCAACTGGGTGTTTGAAACCTAACTTTAAAATGAAATTATGTACACTGAGGATGCTGTTTGTTGTTCAATAATCACTTCGCTAAATTAAAAAAATACGTATACCTATAACTAACCTAAAATAAACTATTTCATTTAAAACCTGTTTTGTAGAATTGTTAATTATCCTGAATAAAGCATAATCAAATAGAAAAATTCTTTAAAAGAAAAAAAAAAGATTCAAACAATATGTTATTTCCAACCTTCATAGCCATTACTGTTAGACTAATAGTTAACAACGGTATTGCTACCGTATAGGTTTGGTTGTCCATGACAATGACGCTTGTAACAACGCCGAAATATCGGAGCATCAATATGGTAGCAATCCCGAAGTTATTCTAACAGACAGTCGAATTGAGAACTTTCTGCTTTTGAAAGTTGGTTTATAAAACCGCGACACTAGAGTATATGGTACTAAAGTGAATTTATTATTCAAAAATCAAAATAATCTTTAATCAAAAAAACTTATTGAAAGTGCTTTAATCGTCCAACATTTTTTTTACCTTCCACCCGTTCAAGACAAGCTATTCACATTATGAATACTTTTCAAACTCTATCCCAGCATTAAAGAAAAGTTGTCACTGAAATTCTCAAATGGACTACTCAAGCAGTATTTCCCATTAACTTTACAAAGTTTATATACAAAGGAAATAACGTGAAATCAAACATCTGACCTTGTAGTTATCATCCAAATTCTTGAAATTCACCAATTTATTGAGCTGGTAAATGTTTTATAATTATTCGACTTGTTATATATTTCAGAGTTAGTGTTATATTATTCATTTCTTATTTAATCTTCCTTGTCAAATTATAACAAATGGTGAACTTAATGCCGGAGGATTTGTACCAGTCAACCAGTGAAGATATACAGACAATTTGTAAGGCAGTGATAATGGCAGAGAATTAGCATACATACGTACGATATAAAGACAATACCACACATACACATAATATATATGTTAAATTACCTACATGTCAGATTGAGAAGGCAGGAAATGTGTATACCTTTTAGATAGTGTTCTCTTGAATACTTATCCTATTCGGAGTATTTCGTACGTTCAGAGGTAGCGCATTCCATAGTCATATTGTAGTAAGATGAAAGGATTTGTAATAAAAATATAGTATGCTGAGCAGGAGTCTTTAAATCTAATAACTGGAGTAAAGTTGTCATTGTTGAGAGGCACCTAAGTACTGAAACCTAGATCTCAGATACTGCGGCGCTCGTGGTTAGTTATGACCTTTGAAAGAGTTTTTTTATTAGTTGCAATGTATTACAGGGCAATTTAAGCACACAGTCTTAAATGGTAACTCTAAAATGAAATAGGCGGTAAAAACTTAATATTAGTATTTAATGGCATAATTTATAAAGTTTAGTAAATTACAGGGTACATCTGCTGAATTGACTTCGCAAGAGTTTAATTAACATCTACAAGTTACAAGTTATTCTAATATTACAACGTATTTTTGTCATTTCAGGCTAAGACCAAACTGCCATTAAAAGCATGCAGTTTAGGTGTGTAGCTATAAACGCAAAATCGCATACATTGTCTCGCGATTTTCCAGATCGCGAATATTTAGTTTTGTAAAGAATGTGTTATAAACTGTAAAGTTTAATCGCATTACTATCAACTACGCTATTCTATTGATGAAAACACCTTAAACTTGATGTTAAGAATAGCGCTGTAATAGCTTAAAGGTTCAATTAAATGAAATTTACTTTAAAAGCTAATATTATTCGCGTTTCAGCTATGCTTTGACAGCCCTAAGGTCGGCGTCAAATTCGAAACTCTTTTTATAGGCCTAGAGTTACAGCATAAAACACATTACTTGTAGTCTTGTTCCTTATCATTATTTTAGCTGTCGGCTTGAAATATAATTTAATAAAGCTGTAACCGTAAGAAATTACAACGCATGGACTTCTATGCAAGTTACTCGCGCAATCAGATTGAGAACGCAAATCGCCATACTTTGTTGTATACAGTTAGCATTACCAATTGAATTTAAACGACTTATTTTTCTATTTTTTTCTATTTATTTTTATTCATAGTCCGTAATTTTTTTCCTACATCTACAAATATTGCGTACTTCATTTTTATCCAAAAGCCTTATGAAAAACTCATTTAGGTTTTTTTGTGACGGATTGTATTTTATAAGAGAAAAATAAAGAAAAATTATTATATAAATATTTCTCTTTTATATTTTAACAATGGAAAAGATTTGATAAAAAATATCAACCTCAGGCATAGGGTTTACTAAAATTGCTTGATTTTACTTAAAGTGATTGTATATTTGACTCTAGCTTAACTACTATTTTATTGGTTTATTTTCATTAAATTATTTCCTTAATATCCGATTATAAATGTTTGAGGTGTTAAAGTTTATCATTTACTTAGTCTTTCCGATTATTAAGGGAAGTACCCCGCCAATCCTAACTTGTGATTTTCTAAATTTTACTTTGTTTACACTTAATGCACTCCAAGAAATAATTAAGTATGTTATGAACTACACGATCACATAAAATAATTTTCACTCATCATAATTTTGCAGCATTAAATTTTAAGTTAAGTGCAGTTAGGTCTGATACCTTGAATCATATCAGTTAACGTTTTAAAACTATAAAAAAATTGTAACATGATGAAAAAATTTCTCAGATTATAACGAAACTTACCTGTTAATATTCCAACAATAGCTTGAAGAAAAGTAACCCACTCATGTTCAGACACTCGCAATAACACTATACGGAACGCGTGATGACACTCAGCAGTCGACGACGACTACTTCCGTCGATGTTCGAAACCAAACTGAGGCTCTGAGTTGCTCTAAGCGCCGACTCGTTCGGTATACATCGACAATCGTCGGATGCAGTTACACGTTCTTTGCAATACAGCCTTATACAACTACTAGCTGTTTTCGCGCGACTTTGTCTGTGTAAATTATAGCATGTTATACGCGTACGATGTAGCTTCTCGTACGTGAAAGAATTATCATGATCTGATCAGTATTTTCGTAATTATCCTCTACAAACAAACAAAATTAGCTCTTTACCTCTAAACTTTACCATTTTATAATATAAGTACAGATAACAGACTAGCATTTTTGTGGGAGAGACATTCTTTACTAAAACACGTAACTTTTTTGCGTAAATTATAGATAGCATTTCTATCATACGCATAAAATATGAAGTTTTGGTTTCGAGCTCTTACAATTTTATTCGTTGTAGGTATTTGATCAACTTTACATTCTCAATAATATACTGAAAAATATTCTTAATGAAAAATGCTTTAATAATCCACTTTGTCCCTGGCACTTTGAGATGGGACTCGAATCCATGACCTTTCGCAATCCTGACGAATTTTTCAAGCACTTGTTACTTTTTCGCTACTACAGAGCGTATTTTCATCAATGTTCAGGTAAACAGCCGAAACACATATTTTTACAAATATTTAAACTTTCGATAGAGGTGAAAATTTGTTCTAATTATTGAATTAGATCATTTTTGCATTTTCAGTGCTGTACTGGAAAATATTATTAATTATACATAATATTATAAGCTACTGAATACGAAACAATTACTTAATACCTCACTTAATTTTCACAGTACAATTTATGTATTAAGTTCATCTAACTTGTAGATTTTGAATATAGTAAAGAAAAGCAGACTGTTGTAAATGTGTGAGCGTTCGGGAGCGAGGCGAACTTAGAAACTAATAAAGAATACAATACAATTTAAAAAAATATAAAATGTTACATATTAGCGTTCAATTATACGAGGGTCAAACTGAAAGTTCTTAGAAAATCAAAAACTGATTACATTAGCCAGTTATTAGTTTTATTATATCTTTTCAAAATATTGTCCATTCACGTCAATACACCGCTGCATGCGATGGAACCACTGGGAAAAGCACTTTGCCCACTCGTCCTTAGGGGTCTCTTCAATGGCATCGCGATACGCAGCCACCGCTTCTTCAGCATTCATAAACCGCTTTCCTTTAAGTTTTTCTTTAATTTTTGGAAATAAATAAAAATCACAAGGCGCGAGGTCGGGGCTATATGGCGGGTGACCCAGTAATTCAACGTTTGATGTCGCCAAATAGTCGATCGTTCGCTTGGCGGTGTGCGACGAGGCGTTGTCGTGGTGAAGGAGGATCCTACTGCGAGGTCGTTTCTCTCGAACTTTTTCCAAGACAAGTGGCAAACAATTGGTAGTGTACCATTCTGCAGAAACTGTTTTTTGATCCTCTAACACAATTGTTGCAAAATGACCTATCCTTCCAAAGAACGAGGCCACCATTTTTTTTCCCGCACTTCGATCTCTCTTCACTTTAGTTGGCAACTCCTCGAAAGGAAACACCCACTGAGCAGATTGTCTTTTGGTTTTAGGATCATAACAGTAAATCCAGCTTTCGTCACCTGTTAGTATGTCGAACACAGCATTTGAGTCACCTCCGTTAAATCTTTCAATCATTTTACGACACCAATCCACACGATGGAGTTTTTGAGCCTCAGTCAAATTATGAGGTATCCACCGGGCGCAAAGCTTCCTGACCGCTAAATGTTCGTGGAGGATTTTGTGCACTTGACTCATACCGATGCCTAAGCTTGTCCGAATCTGTTGATAGGTCACTCTTTTGTCAGTCTCTATCATACGCCGCACAACACAGATGTTATCTTCAGTCGTCGCCGTAGAAGGCCGTCCCTCACGTAAATCATCAGTGAGATTAGTGCGACCACGTTTAAACTCATTAAACCAGTTGTAAACAGTCGCACGAGATGGGGCTTCATCGTGAAAGGCCAATCGTAGTCTATCATAACTTTCTTGTTGACTTAAATGACATCGAAAGTCATAAAAAATCATTGCACGAAAATTTTCTCGTGTTAAATTCATGATGACGTGACACAGACAATTTTCAATTTGCCGCCAAATCGTAAAACAAATGACAAATGAATGAAATATATACTCAGTAATATTGGCAAAGAGTTATATTTTCAAATTTTAGAATTATTTTTTTATTATATTGTTTATAAGTGGCCAGTTCTAAGAACTTTCAGTTTGACCCTCGTATTATCGTTCTGACGACCTCCGTAGCCGAGTGGTTCGCACGCCGGTTTCAAGGTGTCGCCATCTCTGAGGTCCCGGGTTCGACCCCGGTCGGGTCAATGCAGAAAAATGAACTTTTCTATATTGTGTCGGGTCTGGGTGTTGTGTTACTTTCGTTGTTCACAGATACTCCATAAAATGGGGGCTTTGACTACTCATTTGGAATCTGAACAATGTATGTGATATTGTGTAATATTTATTTAATTAGTAAGTATTCATATTATCAATGTACCAAGGAGATGCGAAAATAAAAAGTTTTTTTAATTATTCATAAGCCAATTTTATTTTAGGCAGTATGTTTTTATTATATACCTACACAACTTTCTAGCTTTCTGTTTATTTCGATATCAATTCATATCATGACACGGATATAATGAAAATGACAAATTGAATAGTAAACAATGGTTACTATGGTAATGTTTTAATTCTCTGTACAAACTACCACCAATATTTTTTGTAAATCAAGTTTTAAATCGCTCTCTTTAAAGGTGGTAAATTATCCTTTATAGATAAGCCAATTTATCATTTTGACTACTAGTTAATTTCTAGTAGTTTATGTTATTGGAGTATTAATAATCCGTGAATATTATGTTTAGTACCGCATAAGAATTATAAAGCGCATATAAATTAATACTTATCAATATTGGTATAGTTAACGTTTCTCGTAGTCACAATGCTACGAATGCTACGTACGTAGACATTACTGGCTATGAACTGCGAATGAAACTAAGGGCCTACTCTGTTTCTCCACGAATGAAATTGTGGCAGATATAAAATCGTTCTTATAATTATATCAAAATCATATTCGTAAAGATTATTTACATCAGAGACAGTGTCAGGTCCTACCTCCTTTGCATCATAATATTAGTGTTACGAAAATAGACGAATATTCGTTTTCGAAGAAACATAGATCTTCATTACTGGGTGCCTGGAATTTTCGGATTGTGCTCTAGATTAGAGATTAATTAATATTAAATACTATCTGGGGTAATATCTTTAATGAGCTATTTCTTCCAAGAAATAATGTGTTGTAAACGATACATTTATATTAATGAACAAAACCTACTGAGATAACTATTATTTGAGATAGACAAACGGACGAACAGAAAGTCTCTCTGTTGAACTTTTTTTGAGTGATTAAACCTTTAAATTATTTAAATTCCATTGTAGATTTATACATACATGTATAAATGAACAATAGTTTTAGACATGAATAAATATCTATGGTGTATTCCTTAATTAGTTTTGATAGAAATAAACGTTGAAATGACATATGACCTACGTGGCAGAGTAGCTTGCATACCGGTTTTAAGGAGTCACAATCTCAGAGGTTTCGGATTTAATTCCCGAGCGGTTCAATGTAGAAAACTAACTTTTCTATATTGTCTAGGGCCTGAGTGTTGTAACTTATTTTTTTCGGATTTCCATAATACTTACAAGTGTTAAAAGATACCGAATTTTAGATTTAAGCAATGTGTCTGATGTTGTCTTATATTGATTTATCTGTATTTATATTACAAAGAGGAAAGATTTGACTGTTTGCATCTAATACGCTCCGTAACCACTGGATCGATTAAAAAATCTTTCACCTACTAGAAGCTAGATCATACTCGCATAACATAGGCTATAATTTACGCAAGGAAAGTAGCGGCAAAAGAGCTAGTTTTTTTATAACATAACAATTTAAAATACAATCCGACGGAACCAAACTAATGAGATTTGTCTGCGAAGATTAGTCGGTTATTATACCTTTGGTGTTTGGAATTTCGATAGCATAAAGGATTTAGCAACTTTTGTCGAGATCTGAGTAATATATGTTTGAGCTCTGCTATAACATTTATTTATTAATATATTAAATTTTGCTTGGTTAAATACTTATTTGTCTAAATTATATCTGAATACGTGTTTGTCTCATATTAAACAATTAATGAACGTCTTATCTGTTTATTTAACTTCGAAAATTTTCTGGTTATTACGCAAAAGTTCGGTCCGCTCTCCGATTACATCATTAGTGAAAATCCAATGGGAATTATGGGGAGAGTCGCAATGAAACTTTCGATAATGTTTTAAACTCGAACAAAAGGCGAGGCGATGTTTCATGTTCGACTGAACATCCATTCAGTCTGTTTGGTCAGACGTCAGACGCCCCTTTTATATAAATTTCTCCTTTTGACTGACTTATCTACGATATTTTTTTCGACAAGTCAATTCTTTTCATGTTTCCACGTGAAAATATTCGTTTTTTACGTCGCTTTCCACTTAATAATATATAAGTTGCTTTATTTTTCTGTGATCATTCACTGTGAAAAATCGGGAATTTGAAACAATCTAAAAAATAATTGGTTTCGCCCTCGACGCTACATTTAAAGGGCATTTATGACCTGGGAAGTTGACAGTTAGAAAATTGTACATTCAAAAGATCACAATTAAAAAAAAACATTCTGAATTCACATTTGACCCTATCTTTCTTAAAAATGACAAAAGAAGGAAAATCAAAGTCTGCAGTGTAGCCCTTTGTAGAACTACATGTCAAAATCATTACTGCTATCTAGGACCTTATATATACAACATTAACTCGTTTCTTTCAATTTACCCATTGCAAAAATCAAAGTAGGTACACAATAAGAAAATGGTTTCTTACACTAGATTATAAAGAAACAGGCTACTCACACACCGCAAATGATTCATTAATACAATTTGGGATA